TATTTTATAAATATAACATTTTAAATGCGTAATATCCGTTAAGGGCAATGTGAAATAATCAAAATATTGATTTCAGAGATTTTAAAACAGCTGAAATGATTAACTTGCTAGAATCGCTAAAAATGCTTACGTTTTTAATGAGATCAGCATTTGTATAGCAAATAAACGAAGATTCTTGAATCCGCTGAAGAAGGTGTTCACGTCCTCCTCTGAGACCTTACCTTCCAAGCGTTGACACATGAAGCCATATAAGCATCGCAAACTGCCACTAAACAGAAACTGAGTATTTCACACATTACAACAATAGAAGGAATTTTTGCTGCTCATTTGTTTTCAGAACAAAATCAGGTTTAAATTAAACCTGACTTGCAGGCATTACAAATCTGCACGTTGAAAAACTGTTCGATAACTGAAATAAAAATTTCACTGTCCTCGTCTTCGTGACTGCTTACCGATATAACTTTTCATAATCTCTGCCACATGATAAAGCTAAAACAACATGTAATCGCTGTCTCACTAAACCATTCCCAATGGACATAGGAGAAGAACGAGATAGCGCTACAAAACCCGGGCATAGTACACGTTTGGGCATATTGACGTATTCTTGGAGTATAAACCCTCTATCTTTTACATTTTGTGCAAGCCTATAATGAGTACTGGCTCCAAAAACATTATCGATTTTGAGTAAGATATTGCCCTAGCCAACAAACGGATACGATATGTACCTAGAACTGCAGGTACTCAAATACCACACAGAAGGCTGTCTGTTTAAATGGTATCCTGCGTCTCTTGATCAAAAATTAACATACCACTGACGAAGAACTCAACAGCAAACGAATTTCATGATCACTTTTACTTTGAAGAAAGTTCATGAGATACGAGAGAAAAGTTGGCATTGGTATATTACGTGATAGACCAATGTTGTTGTGTTTGAATAAATTTGTATTTCAACGAAAAGAAGATGATTACTCGCCCATCGGTACTGATTTCGGAATCTGACTAATAGATCTGTTTCAAGCCGGCATTCGGGATATTTTTTGCTATGACAAAGTTGGTGCTGTTTGTCTGAGACTCTACTGATGACAGAAAGTGATTTCTGTACAGTGTCTTAAAAGTTCGCTTGATGACAGCACGAAGAGACTCGACAAATCTAACTGGAGACTTCTTTAACCGTCCTGAATAGCTATCGAAGACCGAAATCGAAAACAAAAATAGAAAGTGGCGAACGCCGTCCTCGTAATTATCAGGCCGATGAAGAACGGAGACCACTTGTGAAAAATTGGCTATTCGTTATTTGACTGCTTGACACCGTGCTTGACCTCCTGGCATGGAAGCATGACGAACGGTGTCAAATAACATTACTACCATGACGAAAATGGTGCCAGTTAACAGCGGAGTCGCTAAACGTTCAAAAAGGAGATAGATGACGTACAGCTGCTGCAAGCGGGTTCAGCATGGTCATGATGGGGCAACACAGACTGTCGAACGTTAAAGTCAGAAATTGACCCAAATCACTGAGAGGCAAACACCAGAAGCTTGTAAAGAGATCGCAAGGTTTCAAGTGGCTATAATTAGAATCTCATTCAACATCTTTGAAGCCTTAAATCCTTCAGACTGGAAACTTTCCTACTGCGGTGCTGATTTAGCAATTCGCGTTCTAGACGGAGGCGGACGAGAAAATTTAACAACGAAAACACATCAGTGGAAGAGTCGCAGGCCATCAGCTGAAACCGAAAGGTAGCTTTGGCCTTAATAAAGGTCGATGCACCAAACTACCGGCAACGCATAGGATCTGTCTGGATGAGGTAGACAGCACTCTCGATCAAATCCTGGATATTGATAAAAAAAAGTTCCATGCGCATATCAGAACAGACGCTTGTACGTGAAAAGACGCGTGTTAAAAAATGGCATTGCCGAATTTAACAATAATGGCATGAATTACAACGCTTCTCTGCAAACAACGGATCATCCATTATGAGCAAATTCCGAGTACAGAAATCTGCAAAAGCATAAATGATACCGCGATGCTTTCGACATCATCTTCGCAACATTAAACCAACGACGCTCCGCAATAAACGGTTTTGTTAAGAAAGATGCACAGATATTGTTGGTGCCGTTCACGACAGCAGTTGGCAACAACTATACCAAATGAAGCACCATGAGAAGACATATTCCCAAAAAAACTGCAGAAAAAATAGGAAGTCCAACCTTCTTCGGATATGGTAGAACAACCGGCTGACAACATCGTAAACTGATAAAAGCAAATCCAGTTGATGAGAGAGATATTAAAGCTGAAGATGCGCGTATTAGAAGTGCATTTTCAGAGGCTCCAGCTGAATGCTGCGGTATAAAGTGTATTGGACTAACGCCTGGTGGTCCAACTCGTATTGAATGCCTAAGATGCGGCTGGACGTCAGAGAAGAAAAGGCTGCATTCAAGAGGAGGCTTGTACGTAAACAGCCGTCCAGCTGAAAGAGCTAGGAAATGGTATGAAACGCGACAGTTAAAGCAGTGACTGACGAACAGGAAGGGTTTGGTCATAAAATAAGGTCGAAATTTCAGAGGACAGAAAAAGCATTTGGTAGACTACATGCCGCCTACAAAACGAAGCAGTAACCTAAAAGGCCTGAAGGACAAACCTGATCCGAAGAAAAGAATGTTTCATTTGACTTTTGCCTATGTGCACACATGGTCATGAGTGATGGATAATGGCCCAAAATATGACCGCTCGCCTGCTTGCATAAACGGCAGAAACGGGATTCTTCACGAATATCTGAGGGCCTATGCAATTTGACGGAGTTCCCAGCTCAGCAACCCGGAAACCATCGGAATCGAACCGTTGCTTAATATAATTCAACGGTAGTAACTGTGAACATTATGGCATATTCTGAAAATGCTGCTAGAGCGAACGACCGAACTGTCAACTCAAGACACCTAAGACGCTTCAGAATGGCTTGAAACAAATGCAGCAAGAAATTTTCCACGAGACAGGGAATGCCTCCTGCCGATGATTATGCAAAAATTGTGAAAGCTGTGCAAGATCTTGAATGCTGCCGCGATATTACCCGACGCTGCTACGCCTGGGAATCTGAAGGACAAACGGCATCCGTAACTTTTGTGAGTAGCTAGGCGCTTGTCTTTGCATCTGTCACTGTCATACATTAATTTGGATTTACGCGCATACTGATCATAGAATGATGAGAAACAAGAAACTAAAGCTGAACTAACCTTACACTGCTGGCCAACCGCTTACAGAACGTTTCAAATCGACAGCAATCATAGGTCTTCAGCCCCTTCTGAAATATGCGCAGATAAACGAGTTCGAAATCCAGTAGATAACGCAGATACAGGGGATTCAAGTCTGAAACACTACACATCGTAAAAAAACAGCATTAGAATCAGACCTGGCCGCGTTACTTGAGCAATCGATGAGCAAAAAAATCGCATTGAAGACTGGATCAGCTGAAAATCGATCAAAACAGCATAGCAAGTCTGATTCGTCGATTTCGGAGAAACTGCTTCTCTCCTATGCAAAGTTTACGTAAAACAGCATTGAAAACGAAAAAAATTTTAGGGACGACGAATCATTCCCGATGAAACAAGAATGTCTTGAATCACTTAGATCGGAATTATGAAAATTAACGAGCATCACCGACGTATGTAACTATACAAGGTAAAACTGCATATCAGAAAGGGGGCATTGCCTGATTAAAGAATACTGCCATTCTTGAGGTTTCGGTCTGTCGTAAGTTGCAAACTGCTTTAGCTCAGACGATACGCACGTTTTCATTACTCATTATCATTGTATCATACAGTCTTTGAGCCGAAAACGACATCTGCCTCCTAGCCAGTACCAGCGAAGAACTCTTAGATTGCTAAATGATTTCCATTGCGAATTTTACCTTGGAAATAAGCTAAAAGAGGGAAAGACAACGAGAACAAAAAGGAGGGCAGTTCACTGGGAAAGACAAGGAAAATGCTCTCAAATTTCCAGACGCAACATCATGCATTAGATACAAATGTTTTACGCTTAATTTAAAGTCAGGATGGCAACAGGAATCTAGAATTCGACCTGAAAGGGAAAAAATGCCAACGTTAAAACTAAAATCTATTAACGGCGCTTGCAAAGTCACTCTGTCTGCACGGCTGTAAAACCTAGACAGAGATTGCAGCAACAGAAAAAAACAGAAACAGTCTCAAGTTAGTGTTACCGACTTATTCTGAGAATTCTTTGAACCGTTCAAAATAAAGAAGAAATGAGAACTAGCGCAAAATACTTCGTGGTACCAGAAACTGACTGTCACAATGACTCTTAAAGCAATTCTTTCGAGAAGACGGCCACTCATGCGACCTTGACACTGGGCCGCCTTCCCGCATAATGAAGGAGGATTTGAATTCTATGCAAGTTTATTGCTGTGACACCTTTTATTTACCTGCCTTTCAGCTACAGATCCCACATGGATGATATATGAATCAGGCAGAGAAGAAAAACCAGGGCAATTCAATAGATAGCTCAAGCAAATCAAGGATCGATACCATCCGCGTCATTTCGATAGCTTAAACTGGCAAAACATGGCGTGAAATATTATTCAAAAAATAATTTCTTGAAGTTTCAGCTTCCGCCTGAACAGTGCCATCGTCATTCTCTTCGCACTGACTTAGACGCAAAATCTTATCGAAAATGAAAACGAGTTTCATTTGTTTTTCTCCTGGTATATACGCTGCTTCACGAAAACGGACATGGATAATTTTCTAACAAAGCAAACCATCTCATATGAGTTAAATAAAACAATAAAAAATCTGAAAAACGACGAGTTGAAACACGATTTATAGTAAATAAGCAAAAACGTAAAAAACCATGACTAACTTCACCATCCAGCCCAACGACACTGAATGGTTCTTCGGACTCGGTTTGAAAGTCATGCACGAACAGCGATCGATTTCTACAAACGTAAACGAGCACTCATTATCGTACCCTTAATTACTACCGTCATATCTACCTTAATGGAATGAAAAGTTCGTCCAATAATATCAAATATAAGTTGACTGCCGGAAACAAATCGCTCGATATGTGTACAAAAGAATGTATAAATTTTGACGCCCACTTCCCAAACGTATCCGGGCACCGCAAAAATTGGAAAAGCAAATACATATGATCTTCTGGTGCCGTGCACTTGAAAAGGGTCTCCATCTGAAAACAACACATTTACAATGCAGTGAAAACAATATAAAAACAAATATCTATAACTCGCTGAAGACAACCGACGGCAGTTAACTCTACAAACCGCGCCAGTTTTTAATCCGAGGTTGCTCACTCGGTAAAGCGTCAGAATCAAAACTAATAGATCCCGAATTCAAGCGCTGATCAGGTCACTCGCCTTTCTTCATTCCGAGGCTGAAAAATGAGTACCACTATTGGGAAGGAAACAGAAAACTATACATCATGTTGTTCACACCATTAACGCTACCCTTAAAATAATTAACTCCTGTCAGATGGTATGGAAATAAAGGTCACGCTCAAACTATGAAAGTATATAAAAATAACGGCATCTGAAACATTATAATTAGTTAAGTACTTATGTAACAAGTAAATTATGAGATTGATGTAAACTGTATTATAAATACAACGTAGCCTAAAATGCTTAAATGATCCCATAGGCTTCGTGCAAGGAGAAGGTGCCTCAGCACGAAGAATCGAGCTCTAAAGCATTTATGTGCTTATGAACAAACAGTATCCATTGGAAAATATGATTGTTGGTCTTAATGAACATCAAAAGTAGGCAGCCATCTGCAGTCTTACCAAAACCGTAATCCAGTTAATAATGGATGCAGAATACGGCTGATTTTCAGGCTGTCGCAGAAAATAAAACAGCGTATCCAAAAGCGTCCGAATATTGTCTCTGATCTTTCTAAATTCGTCCGGAAGTTCCGAAAACGAAACTAAAATCACGTTCAAATTAGCACCTATAATGCTACGTCAAAAAGTAATACAATCGACGAACAACTGAAACCATAAACGGCAATATCTGAGCTAACGTTCAAAATGAAACATCTGCAACCGTCCAATCAGGATGACGTTCTTCCTAATCAGGATGACGTTCTTCCTAAAACCGTCCAATCAGGATGACGTTCTTCCTGTGGGGGCAAAAAAAACTGAAATACAAATAAAGTTGACGAAATTTCATATCTTGTAAGAAGAAATGCGACATGCTGGCCAACGCAATGGCAAATTTATTTCCACCTGTTTGAAGGAACTGAAAATTTCAGACGATTGAACTACCGAATCGGTGATTCTACTCCGCAAAAAGGGAGACAGAAGATCTGAAGAAATAGTCGATCAGTTTGCTGCCCATCATTTACAAGATCGTTGCGAAGGTACCAACGAACAGACTTCAAGAAAACCTGGACTCTACAAGCCAAAATAGCAAGCAGGATTCAGAATTGGATTAAGTAGAATGGTCATCTTCAGATGATATAACAATTCAGACAAGCAACGAATATCAGCTTGGGGTATGTCGATTTAGAGAAAACTTTCTTCCCAATCTCATCGGCTTTGTGCCGGATTCTTGGGACGAGGGAATCGAAAAAAAGATACAGAGACTTCAACACTAAGCAACTGCTACTGTAGTGCTACAAGAAAGCACAAGCAAGTTCAAAATCGAAAAGGGCGTTAGGCGTTAGCAAAATAGGTGACCCCGCGACCCTGTTGAAGTCAACTAACTTAGGCTTGAAGATGAGCAAAACTATAACTATCTGGGGCACAGCATCTCTGCAACGGAGAATCGATTCCGCGAAATTAATGGATGAATAAAAATGGCACTGAGCAATGATCGCTGAAAACGTTTCTATCCAGGAAACCGCCCTTGTGCTTGAAATGGAAGTATTCGATCAGTGTACTCTAAGTGTTAACCTATGGGTGTGAAACATGGGTCTAAGCCTGAAAGCTATTAATAAGCTGTCGACTACACAACATATCGAGGAAAGACGCATGTTGGGAATAATAAGAAAAGACATAATGACGAATAAATGAGCAAGAGCACAAACAAGAGTCTGCGATGTCATTTCCCGAGTGAATAAGTTAAGGGCAATGGGCAGGATATGTTGCACGAAGAATAGATGGTCACAAATGCATTGGACTAAGCCCCAAGAGGGAGTAAATGATCCGTAGGAAGACCTCTAGTTCGATGGCAAGATAAGGCGATAAAATTCGCTGGATTAAGTTGGATATAAATCGAGGAAAACACAAGTTTCTGGCAAAGTATTGGAAGCGTCTGTCCAGCAGTGGATCGAAAAAGGCTAATTATATAATTATTTGTACTCGAAATGTATCGTTTCCATGTCACACACAGCGATACTCTTTTTGATATCTCAAAAAGATAAAAGCGAGTATATCAAAAAAGAAGTTTACAACTTAAAGATTGTCAGTTCGTCGCTCTAGAGACTAAACTGTCAGGCCATTCTAATGCACAAAGTAATCGGCAACAGTACGATGTGCAAAACAGTATGCAGCGCAAGTGAGTGCAATTAAGGAAATTGCAAAGGTTTAGGTATCTTAATGTAGCACTCACAAGTGAAAAAAATACCTGGAAATGCATATATATTTGAATCGGTCAAGCAAACGTAGAAACTGCAGAGCTAAACCGTTGTATACATACGATAAAATAACTGAAAAGCAGTTCGAAGCTACTTATTCGCAAAACTGTATATGATAATGGGCGAAAACAATCTGAAATGGAAATAAGACTCATCCGAAGGATTGCTTATGTAATGGATCTCGCATGTTTTACAGCCTAACAGCCAGGAATACTGTCGCTGATGCGTCGCCCTTTATCTAAATCGAAAGAATACAACTGCAGCGGCTTGGACATATGATCAAAATGTCAGATGGGAGACCGGCAAAGGGGATTCTTATGGCGAAACCGCGTGAAGGCGGCTAAGAGGATCGAAGGCCAGGTGGTTGGGCTATATGACGCATCAGGCACCAAGCACGGTACGTGCTGTAATCCAACCTATGAATCTTATTAATTGGTGAACCGAGATCACGGAGAAACTGAAACTTCTGCACCCATGACTTCAAAGGATAGGAGGCATTTTATTCTTTTTTTGCATGGCTCTGGAAAGACCGAATGCTCTTAGATTTTCAATTGCAGCCGCTGTGCTGCGTTTAGAGTAATCAAGTGGATCAAATTCTGACCACTGCGTGAACGCGAATGCGATGAAAGATTTATTTATATGTCTGTACCTCGCCGCAAGTGACAAACTGGTCATTTTCCATTTATGGAGAAAAAATCTGCACCTTCGTGTCTTTTACAAACGTAGTTTAGAGCGGTCAACTGTCGTCCAGAAAAACAGAAGCCTGAGACCTGCTTAACCTAGACATTTTTTCCGCTATCTGAAACGCCACAAATTGCCCATGAGTAGCCCAGCGAGTATTTACATAAATTCTATCGGCCACCAGTGAAAAGTCATGGATCGAAAAATGCTGCTTTGGTTTCATTCTGATAGGTGACACCAGGCTGATTACCTGGTGAAATGGTAGTCTGTATGAATCGTGATTTGTCCACATTTATAAAATATAGCAGCATCTTCTCTGACAGAATTCAGTGTAACGTTCGTCAGCATCGTTAATCAGGCAAACACTGTTGCTTCTAGGGTAATGCTGACCACAGACTGTGACGCTTGTTTCCGATGAAGAGAACAGCTGTTGCGCCACAGTGACATGCGGTATCCTATGGCTGACAACACCAGGAAGGGTGAAAGCTTAGAACGTACAGGCGTAATAATGAGGAAACAGCGACTCTGAATTATGTTCATCCTGGTCCTTGTCTTTTTTATGACTGCCCTAGGTTACGTTGGTAACTCAGGGCCCAATTTAAGGTAACTCTGATATATTGCGGATTCTGTTCGTTGAATAATGGAACATCGCAAAACTTTAAGTTGGTCGTTGCTAGGGCTTAGCAGTCCTTTATATAAAAGGCAGAAACAACTCACCTCGACGCATTGGACTACAGCACTACGGTTTCATAGTACATCTCCAGCGCATGAACATCATCCTGAAGAATCATTTCCACAACGTTCAGCGAAAACACCTGCGTTTCCAGGACTCCGTACATCACTGTAACCGGCGAAAAAAATGATGGGACAGCTATGACAAAAACAACAAGGGATATCATTACTATTCTCATTGTTCAGAGCGGGTTCGTTGATCTTACCCACTGAACATTCGCTGACAAAACAGACTGATATGCTAGACATCGTGAGATCACTAAAATGCCAGCGTCCTGGAACTAGCTTCCGGTTTAACGGCAGTTTAATATCATGGTGATAATGTCAAGTTCTGCGAACATTTTCTTGACAGGGGCACAAACATATTTCGCATTAAAAACGCGTTGCGACGCGAAAAAAAACTTCATTGAAACCCGTCGGTTCGTTAAGCAAGCAACAGCGATAGGAAAAGTGAATTCTCATTTAGAAGCAGCAATTAAGCGCGCTTGTATGAGAAACAGCGGCGAGGTCAAAGTCACAAATTCAAAACTGATCACACACGTCGACTTTACACCATAAAGTTCCGAACATCCATTGCAAAGGGACCACTACGATAAGATTAAACGTGGCTCAGAAGTCTTTCGTGGATCATCGTCACCCTCATCAATCTTCACCGACACGAACAAAAATGTCCTGCTGCTACAAACAAATCAGCATTAAAGACAAGTCGCTTTTCTTTTTTGATAACCTTCTACGCACCTAAAACTGTTGAAAAGATCTAGTTTATTTCGCAACCTGGGCAAACATCGATAACACTTAAGCTATAACAGTGACAAGAGACGTATATACATATATAAAACTACTCACCATAGAAATAGGGGCTGTTCGCTACTTGAGATGTGTTTTCATACTGTTCAACTACTTTATGAACGTATTGCTCGCAGCGAAGTTTTTCAAGCTCCCGCTGAAACAGCGCTGGGGATTGCTGTTCGATACACATTGTTCGTAGACGCAAGACAAGCGCTTCCTGCTGCAGCATCGCTTCGGTGTTGATAGTAGCATCTTCGGTAGAGTAATAACCGACAGCTTTAGCCCCCTTAAGGCAAGTGCTCTGAAACGCAAACATCAGAGATGCAAACAAACGGCAAGAAACCATTACCGTATAGGTTTTCGTTCTGAAGGTGTTAATCCACGTCGAACTCATCATTTGTTTACAAACCATCTCTAGTTTCTTTCTCTCCCAGCACAACGAATCCGCCTTTACGCAAACGTCCAAATAACGGGCAAGAAGCACTGCGAACGAATGATCGCAAGCGGGTTTTTCCACCAACTAAATGGAATCCGTGGCAACTCGAATTAATTAATTTGCCTGATTATTTACACGTTCCTGTGTTATATACTGCACCTAACCAGTCAGTCAATTTCCAAGACAGTTTATAATTTCTGGTTGCGGAGGCAGATGTGTCAAACAGTGTCTCTAACGCCCCGATCCTGTACCAGCATTTGAGCTTCGGCAGAAGAGAATCTGAGTCTGGGGCAGAGTCTTTCGAGACACTGCGACAGTAAGTTTTGGCCATCACTAGTGTTTTCGCCCGGTTAGCTAGGCAAGTAGTTAAGAGCTCCGCCTTCCTTCCTGAAGGCATTCCAAACGCATGTCCAAACCATCGCAGCTGTGATTTCTCAAGCGGCTGTACACAAAAGTCTCTCTCCGATATCTGTACGCCAGACCATGTCGAGACGCATGATCTAAGCTATTTCTTCAGAAAGCCCATGTCAGCTGCCCCCGGGGTCGAAATTTCTTAGTTATAGCTTGCAATTCATAACCGTAGGTGAGCATCAGTATGCAGGTCGACTCAGACACAGACAGCTTAGTCTTCAGACTCAGCACTGCCTTAGTCCCAACGGTTCGGGCTAATTCATGCAGGACACTAACGGCGACTTCAATTCGAGGGGCGATCTCCCCTCCATTTCTCTATCACCAGCAAGTATGTATGTATGTATGTATGTATGTATGTATGTATGTATGTATGTATGTATGTATGTATGTATGT